TTTAGGGTTTAGGGTTTCGGAAGTTTTGGGTTTCGGAAGTTCAGGGCTTAGGGTTTAGGGTTTAGGACTTCAGGGTTTAGAAGGAGTTTGGGGTTTAGGGTTCCCTGAACCCTAATAGTTCTTGTAGAGTGCCGCGGCCGCGGCCGTTGGCCTTCTCATGCGTAGTCTGACTCTGAACGCAATTCCTGAACCCTAAACCCTACCAGGAAAGCTGGAGGGGGCGCAGCACCCGCCCTTGGGGCATTGAGACCCGGTTGCAGCCAGCTGGGGTGGGGATGGTTTAGGGCTTTAGGGTTCAGGACTCAAGGGTTTGGGTTGAGGGTTTAGGGTTTAGGAAATTATAAGTCCTAAACCCTAAACCCTAAACCCTAAACCCTAAACCCTAAATCCTAAACCCTAAACCCTAAACCGAATAAAAAGAGAGTTCAAGAGTGTCTAGTGTGCAGGGCTACAGTTGAAGAGGCCCGAAGCCCTGGGACCTGGATCTGGTCCTGCCTTTGCAGCATTGCAGCCTTTGTCGATGATACTGAATATCAGAATTTTTAAACTTTTAAAATTTATGGTCAGGGGGCTCAGGGTTTAGGGTTTCGATTTTCCTGCCTAACTAGTCAGGCCCCAATATTGCCCTGAAGTGGTCCTTTCATCTGATCTGCCAAAACTGAAACCACAACAGCTCCTCCGCCCGAATGCTGACGACGACGACCGCTCCTACTCCTACTCCTACTCCTGCTCATGCTTCTTCTCCTCCTTCTCCTGCTGCTACTTGTTTCCCACTAGAGACTGTTCCGGCCCCGATCCTTCCCAGGGCTTACACTGAATAAGATCTCACAGAAATATGCTGAGCCCGGAAACATCCCAGTGCATGCCTTGATCCCGTCAACGCCCAAACCCAAACACTCAAAGCCTTTCAACATAGGGGGATCCGATTTAAGAACCTTGCAGACTGGGATTCGTGTTCCAAGCGCCCCTTTTTCCACGTACCCCAAACCCGAAAACCCCAACCCCAAAGCCCTAAACCCTGAACCCCTAAACCCTAAACCCTCCACCCCGGAACCCTAAACCTTAGACCTTAAACCCTAAACCCTACCTATAGTCTCCATCGTAGTTCCTTTTTGGGTTACCTTCTAGGATCCTGCCTATAAAGCTTAGTTAAATAGGCAGACCCTAAACCCTAAACCCTATAGACCCTAAACCCTAAACCCCAAACCCTAGACACTGAACCCTGAACCCATACACCCCAAACCCTACAACCCCGTCTAAACTAGGGCCCACAAAAGCACATAACCAAAAATTAGGATAGGGATATCCCATGTAACTCCCCTTATAATGCAGCCCAATAAGGTAGGGATATCCCTAGAAAATGCTTATGCTTACGTCCTTTTTGTGTCCCCTCTAAACGTCCATTTCCCCTAAACCCTAAACCCTAAACCCTAAACCTCCTCTAAACGCCCACTTCGGGAGACTGCCGAGGCCGCGACCGTCGCTCCCGTGGAAAGGCGCTTCTCGGCGGTGGAGGAGCCGAGCTCGCGATCTGTGCGGACCAGGATGCCGCCTGCATCTCATAGTATGGGTTTAAAGTTTAGGGTTTAGGGTTTAGGGCTTAGGGTTTAGGGTTTAGGGTTTAGGGTATGATACACGATGCTCTAATAATCTAGTATAGTTAATTTACTATCGCATGTTTTACTCTAATATAAGATACTATAGATCATCATCCTTTCGGGCGTAGGGTATGCAGGGTTTTCTCGGCTTGGTGAAGGTTTTGGGTCCAGGGTGTTCAGACGAAATCTTCGAGCCCTAGTGTAGGGGCCTTCATAATTAGAAAAGGGTTTTTGGGGTCCCTTATAGCATTGGTAATGATTAAGGCCCCTATATTAGGTTGATAGGACAGGCCCGCTTGCCTCTGTTCGCCGATTCACCGATGCAGCTTGGCAGCCCTCAGGTCAACAAAATTGCTGCAGTCGTCTACAGAAGATACTCTAAAATACTTTAAAATACGATACGACACCCTGAGTTATAAGATATTACAAACAAAACTGGTGCTTCGAAACATTGGGGCAACACGGAGAATGACCCAGCGGCTCCGGTCTAGCTTCGCCACGTCTAGTTGTCACACTGATGCGGATGAGGATCGGCATGGGAAGTAGGATGAAGATGATGATACGAACACTCATAAACCCCAAGCCCTAAACCCTAAACCCAAAACCCCAAGCACTAAACCCCTAGACCCTAAACCAAAAACCCCAAACCCGAGTGTAGGATTCTCAACAGCGCCGCTGCTGTTCAGGGCCAAATCCTGCCATCCGAGCTATGGCCAAGCAGACCTCTTTCCTGCCCTAAGCCGAAGACCACAATGATCAGTTGCTGAAACCCTACACCCTAAACCCTAAACCCTAAACCCTAAACCCCAAACTGTTGTGATCATCATGGCTCAAGAATTACTGTCACTCCTTAGGGTTCCTAGCGCTATTCCGGAATGACATGCCCTTATACCCCCAGGCCCCAACAACACGGTTTAGGGTTTAGGGTTTAGGCTTTAGGGTTTATAGGCTTGAATACGAATAGTACGGCTGCGATAATACCCTACTCCCTACTCGTAGTATTTTTTGGTATCTTACAGTACTATATAGGAACTTACAGTATCCTGAAAGTATCTTGGATTATCTTATGGTATCTGAAGGAAGCAAAACATATCTTATAGTAGGTTCTAGTATTGTCAATTATCTTGTCGTATGTTCTAGCATATTCCAGTAGCTTCTGGTAAGTTCTAGTATCTTAGTCATCATAGTATCTTATAGCGAAGTCGAGTATTTAATACGCTCGTATGATGTAGCTCGCACCTTTGTCGGCCCCGCCGACGACGGTCCAAAGCCCCAAATCACCTGAGCCCATGCCAGTTTTGGCAGCTCTTAATGCTCTGAAGACTCAGGGTTAGGCTTTAGGGCTTATTGTTTAGAGTTCAGGGCTTGGGGTTCAGGGTTTAGGGTTCAGGGTTTAGAGTTCGGGGTTCAGGGTTTAGGGTTTGGGGTTCAGGGTTTAGGGTTTGGGGTTTGGGGTACTATAGGGTGGTGATCCTACAGATGTTGGGACCAGGATTTGCAGAAGTAGCCACTGGGGGGCCGCCTTGCGGAGCCCGCCTACATCCCAGACAGCGACCCTAAACCCTGAACCCTCTTCCCTACTGTTGATGATATAAATATAAATCCTGCATTACCTTAAGGACCCTAAACTAT